CCCCCCCCCAAGGGGCTGGAGCAGCAGCAACCAAGGGTGTGGGTGGGTCTAGCAGCCAGCCAGCAAGCAGGTAGCAGAGAAAGAGGAGGAGCAGCCCCCTCCCTCACTCCAGGCCAGAGGGCTACAGAAGAGTGAGCTATTAGTCCCAGGTCAGACAGGGTTTCTGTTCCCTGAATGACCAGAGCAGGGGCTGCACTAGAGTAATCAGGAACCTGCTAGAACCAGTTAAGGCAGGCAGGCTAATTAGGACACCTGGAGCCAATTAAGAAGAAGCTGCTAGAATCAATTAAGGCAGGCTAATCAGGGCACCTGGGTTTTAAAAGGAGCTCACTTCAGCTTGTGGTGTGGGCGTAAGGAGCTGGAAGTGAGAGGATGTGCTGCTAGAGGACTATAAGCATTAACAGACACCAAGAAGAAGGTCCTGTGGTGAGGATAAAGAAGGTGTTGGGAGGAGGCCAGGGGGAAGTAGCCCAGAGAGTTGTAGTTGTCATGCAGCTGTTACAGGAGGCACTATAGACAGCTGCAGTCCACAGGGCCCTATACTGGAACCTGGAGTAGAGGGTGGGCCTGGGTTCCCCCCAAAACCTTCCAATTGACCTGGACTGTGGGTTCTACCAGAGGGTAAGGTCTCTGGACTGTTCCCCCAACCCACATGGTGAGTCTTGGAGGCAAGAAAATCTGCCAATAAGCACAGGACCCACCAAGATGGAGAAGGAACTTTGTCACAGTATGTAGAGAAATGTTTGATGATATAATTTGTTTGCAATATGTAATTCCTACTTAGGCCCTTCCCTCACATTAGTCTTAGGTCCCTCATAACCTTAATCTGGCTCTGTCTCTAGTAGCTGTCCCCGCTCTGCTGCTGGGAATGTGGCAGCTCCAGCAGGGGGATCAGGGAGATGCTGCTTTTCTGCCTCCTCCCCTGCTGTAAGATAGACCGGAGAACCCCAGGGGACTGTCTGTGACTCCATGTTCAGGCTGTTCTAGTGCTTGAGTGTTCTCACTTGATACCTAGTAGGTGAAATCTAAATACAGGACACACAACCAGTGGGAGGTCTGTGCCCTGGTTTATAACTGTTTGCCTGAGGTTGGTACTCATGTTTGTGAGCTGCTGTACACAGCTTGATGGGAGAACTGAACAGGGGTCTCCCATGTGCCAGCTGAGTGCTCTCGCCATGGGGCTAAATGTTATAAGGCAGGTGATAGCACCAAAACCACCCCCTCCTTCTCTCCCCCCCGTCCTGTGGAGCGATGCAGGTGCCTACCTCATTCCAGCAAGAAACGCCTTAGGCGCCTGAGCCACCTGACATCAGGCGCTGGGTTCCCGTCTGTGGGTTGCTAAGCAGACATAGATGCCCCTCTGCAGCCCCGATTTAGGCACCTGACTGTGAGAGGGGGCAGGGATTAGGACACCCCTCCCCCCTTGTCGCCTCTCCCATTGGCTAGCTTAGATGGTTTCCCGCCTAGTGAGCTGGCTTTTGTGAATTGCACTGTAAGGTGCCTGTGATGCCCATGCATTGTATAGGGAGTTTAGGCCCCTCATTCAGCTTTGCAGAGTTGCAGACTATGACTTTTTAGTTGCCTACAAATTAAGCCCTGTGATGCTCAGCATTGCCACACCAAGTCGTGGATTGCCCCCTGTGCAGCCAGTCTCCTCTCCGCAGAGCACAGCTGAGCAACTCCTGATTGACATGGGTGTGTACAGGACAGAGACAGAGACAGAGCACGGCCTGGCCCGTGACCCATCACAGTAAAACCCAAACTCTCCTCCTAAGTGCTCAATATTTTCTGTGGAGGCTGGGGGGACACAACCAAGTCACAAAGGAAATCCCAGGACTCTGCCCCCTGCACCTGCAGCTGGGACAGTAAAGTGGAACAAACACAAAGAATTGTTTGTAATGTTTTATTTACAGTAAGTAACTAGAGGTGGTAAGTAAACAGAGCCGAGAAGGAGCCTTAATAACCACAGCATGGCAAGGAGATCCCCAGCTACTGAGAACAGTTTTCTTAATGGCACTAAAATAGCACCAATGGCCAGGAATTAATATAGAGAATTAATGAGAGAGTCTCACTTTCAGTAACATGGTGTTTCCATCAATCTGCACCTCTTACCCATCCCCCATCCTGTGTGTGTGTTTGACCATTACAGTGTTACCAGTTGTCCTGGCGTGACTTTGGTCCCTACAGCAGGAGCTCTGGCTGGGAGACCCCAATGAGATCTAATCCCACAGATCTGAACAAAACGCTCCCAGCTGCTGTTTCTCCCCAACCCCCCACACTCTGATTCATTCTGTGTCCCTGCCACCCCCACGTCTGCCTGTCCCCAGCCCAGCTGTTGGTTCTGCCCCCTGCCCAGCCCCCATCTCTGCCCCTCTGCTCCTACTGCAGCCCCAGGGGTTCTTCCCCCTCCCCCTCCCATCCCTGGGACTGCAGGGAAGGGGAGGGGCTTCCACAGGTGATAGAGATGAGGAGCCAGGGGCTGGGTAGATGGGAGTCCTCCAAGGTCATAGAGACTGGGGTGTGTGAGGCTAGAGAGGCTGATTTCTGGTTCCTCCCTCTGCTGCGTGTCTCAGGGACACAGTCGGAGCTGGGATCCCCCCACCCAGAGCCAGGGTCGGATTCTCTCCCCAGGGACGTAGCCCGGCGGGAAAGTGAAGATCGGGGCCTCATCACCAGCATCGATAAATGTCACCTGCCCCCGGTCACAGTCCAGACAAACCCGGATCCTGCTGGGGACCCGGCTCAGGGGCAGGGGGGTCACAGGGGAGGTGAGAGCCCAGAACTGACCCCCCCACCACAGCACAGCCCAGATCCCCCCCTCAGGGCTAAGGCTGATCCCTCCCTTCCTCCCCACAGACTCTCTGGCCACCCCCACAGCCCAGGATCGCCCATCCCCCATCTCCACCTCCCAGCAATGTCTCCCCGCGGTGAATCCCTCACAGCCCAGCACACAGGGCCAAGTGTCAAATCTCTCAGGGTTGTTGGGCAGATCCTGCCGTGTGTCTCCGTATCTGACACTTTTCCGATCCTCAGACAGGATGAGTTTGGGATGAGCCGTGTCTGGATCCAGAGTCACATTCGCTGGGGAGAGAGAATCAGAGCGTTAGGGGCAGAGCTCAGCCCTGGGGGAGGGTTTGGTGGTGACAGTGACAGAATCTGCCCCAGCTGGGGAGTGACTCAGAGAATCTCCTTCCTCCAGGATTTACCCGTCAGCTCTGAGATCTCAGCACAGAGCTGGGGAGAGTCTCTCCCCTGGCAGAGATGGGTCAGTGACAGGGTGAAAGTATCAGGTGGGCCAGGCCTGGGACTCAGAATCTTTCCCCTCCTGCCCCCACCTCTCCCCCGGGAGGGGACTAGAGACTCTGGGAGCCCCAGCAGATGGTAAAACTCAGTGAACATTGACAGAGCTCCCCTCCCCCTCCCACCTTAAATCTCTCTGTGTCTCAGCTGCCTCTGTGCTGGACTTTGCTATGGGGCCTCCCCACCACACCTGGCCTGCTCTGAAATGTCACAGATTGGACAGCAACAGGCCAAATGGTACCAGGATTGAACCTGCCCAGAATTTCACTGCTGAGCAGCAGTCGCAGCACAAAAGTACATTATCCTGGGGCAGGGACTGAGGGGCTAAACAAAGGAAGCGGGTTCATGGTGGAAGCTACGAGTGTGAGGGGAGCCAGGACAGATTAAGGTTTTGTGGGGCCATGGGCCACAGCAAGTGAGGGCCCCTCCCCACCCCTTCTGCTTGCAGACCCCCCCTCCCCACACTCCTGCTGGGGAATTACCCCGCACCCTGATGCCATTCCATGGCTGGAGTTCTGGGCGGATGGGGGAGTGGGGCAAGCCCCCGAGCCCTGACCCCACTCTCTGGCAGGAGCACTGGGCAGGCAGAGCGGGTTGGGGCACAGAGACGCCCATTTTTCAGGAGCCCCTGGGCACAGGCCCCATTGTCCCAGTGGCAGATCCACCACTAGGGAGGAGGTACAGAATAGGTGGCTGGTGGAAAGAGGGAGAGGGTCATGCTAGTGATGCGGAGACTAAAGTGACGTCCTGTTTACCAGAGACAAGACTATGCTGGGGTCATGGTGGATGGAGAGAGGAGAAAACAGACAAGCTCACAGTGCTAATCACAGGAGCTTCCCAGATATGTATAATGGAGCCAGGGGAGCCCCTGTCTGTGACCAAGGCTCTGTTCCTCTGCTTGAGACTGGAGCAAGGGTCTCACACAGACACAGTCCCTGATCACCCCGTCAGTGTGGGGTGACTGCAGAGCTAATGGCTTTCTTCACAGGGGAAAAGATGAAGGAAGAAACAAAGGGACACTGGAGATCCGACATCAGCACAGGGAGATAGAACAAACTCCCCCTGGAGAAGTGGCTGTGGAGGTGCATGTCCCACTGGTTCTGTGCATTGGGTGGCAGCTGCTATCACACATCTCTGCAGGGTGCAGTGCACATGCGGGCCGTGAAGAGGCAGGAAGAGTAGATGCAATATGATATAGATTCATTATGGTGTGGTAGGACATAGGCACAAACCCCACCTCACCTTGTGATGCGCCGTGAAATGAAGGGTGCTGGGGAGGTCTGCCCTGAACTATCTCCTCTACTCCCAAATACAAAGAAAAAGAGGCACATTGCCTCATCGGAACAAATATTTGAACATTGATAAAATATAATCTTTAATTACCTTCTTCTATAGGTGCCACGGATCTTCTCCACCCTAAAACCAGCCACATAATTAGAGAGGAGAGCAGATTTGAACATGTATTGCATGCTTCAATATTGTACAAACTAATACACTGAGGGAAAAGAGAGTTATAAGTTCATCACAACCTCCACTGGACTGCATGAGTGTTTCTCTCCCAGGGTGGATCTTCACTGCAGAGTTAGCTCAGGATCTTATCTGGCTGTTGCCCCAACCTGTTTAATGCGCCAGCACAAAAAATCTGACTCAAGTTTGGTGGTGCTTTGCACCCAGGTTAGCTGGCAAGACTTTGGGTATAGGCT